TACTAAGGAATGAAGTAAACAACCACGCTAACATTGAAACTATCGAGACTTACCTAAAAAGGTAGATAATCCCAACCTTATTTTATAGCTATAATTTACTGGGTTGCCTATTGTGTATCTAGTACTAGCCATATATTATTAATCTCAATATCAACCTGGCAGGATAGGCATTATCTCCATTTCAAGATTATGCTCGCAGAATGATTTGCCTCAAGTCACAGAACCAATAAGTAATGGAGCTTAAATTTGAACTTAGAACATTTGTGCTCTGTAAAAACATGAGGCAGTTTCATAGCCTGGAAACTATGTAACTTCCTCAGAAAAAAACAGCTAGCAGTAGAAATACTAACATTTACCTTTGTTCTCCCTGGTAGAAAAACTCCAGAGCTGGACAACTGCCATGACACATATATTTAAGAGCTGGGCATGTCTAGAAAAAATTTATTTCATTTTTTGAATAAAAGAAAATAAAGGCACATAAAGAAAAAGTGTACTCTTTAGGTAAAGAATTAATCAAGTGAATTTACTATACTTAACTACTGCAACATTTCTTACAATTTCCTGTTCTTTTATATGTAAAAGCTGTGCTCAAATAAGAGCACTTTCACTTTTCAGACCTACTGCTAAGTCCTATTTAGGTGTCTTTGAGACGCTGAAGGTTTCCATTTACCGACAAAGAAACCTAACCTGAGAGAGCCACGCCCACACAGAATGATTGAGCATTCGATCATACAATTAGAATCAGTAAACAAGAGTGTCATTGACTTTAAGTGCTAGTTCCAAATAGGCCATTAGCTAAAGCTGCCTCCCCACCCCCTTAAAACACACACACACACACACAGTAACATAAAATAGGTCTTATCAGTTACCCGAAAGGGCCCGGGCATCTCCAGCTTACTATTTGTGATAATGGCTTTCACTGGGAACTCAATTCCAGATTGTAAAATCAAAAAATCATGCCACAGTTGCCTTCCAGAAGCTATAGCACTTAATTTGATACTTTTAACACGTCATGACTTAACTAGAGGCCAAACGTGTGATAACAGGAAACATATCCATGACTCTACACTCCGTTCTAACACTAATCTTGGAAAAGCCAACACTGGCATGACTCAGTTTACGCTCATGCAAAAAATACTATCTACCTCATGGTGGTAATAAGAGATATAACTAGGGTCTGCAAGCATTTTTCAGATCACAGGATTAAATACTGTCTCTAAAGGGATTGCATGCATTTCCTGTAGATATGAGTGCATTGCATTTTAAAAATATATTAAAGAGTGACTTCCCAGCGTATGTAAATAATTTTCTGCAGGCAAGATTTTCTTCGGAGAAATGAAGACAATATCTGTAAAGAAATCTCTTAGAAGGGAATTTATCAAATCTTTAGAAAATCCGTAGCTTCCACTTCATGGGACCTCAGGGATGGTAATCAGTTCCCATCAGGCTTACCAATACTGACGTCCCTAATTTTCGAGCTGTCAAAATTGATAGGGGCCTGGAACCATTTCCCGCTCTTTGAAAGGAGGACTCACGGACCCTCGGGCTGATTGGGCCGTAGATGGAAAAAGAAGCGTAGGAAAAAAGTAACAAGGAAAAAAAGACGGTTGCAATACCTACAGAAGATGCGAGGCCAGGGGCTGGGGACACAGAGGCCCCCACAAGGTGGTGCCTGGGTGAGAAAGCGACCTAAGACGCTGAGGCGGTAACACGGACAGCTCAGTACCCCCTGCGACAACCCTGACAGCCCTGCCGCCTGGAGGTGCCTTTGTCCGGGTCGGCCGGCCAGTCCCTGTACCTCTGGGACGTCCTGCCGGACGCGGCAGCCCCGGCGACCGCCCGGCTCTCCCTGCCCGTCCCTCAGCTAGCCGGGCTCAGGCGGACATACTAACCGGCTGGTAGACGCCATCTTCACGGCCACCGCGGCTCCAGCAGAAAACAACACACACAGGGAGCGAACAGGAAGAGATTGTGGCGACCAGACGCTCCGAGCCGGGCTTTTATAGACGAATCGCCGACGCAGTCATAATGGGGAGCGGCTACGGGTCGGGAGAGAGGCCAAGAAAAGTGAGATCCGATATGCCACGTGCCTTGCGTCTTGTTATTTTCCTATTCGTTTCTGTAATTTGTTATATTGCTGGATGAATCAACGGAACTACCCAAGAAAACTTTCAAAGGAACCCTGCAAACGGACTACCCGAGAGACACCCTCTACCTGACCGAGTTAAAAATATAAAGACAACCCGGGCTTGGTGTTGGGGTGAAAGCCCACATCCCCGAGGGCTAACTACCCTCCTCCCCACCCGGAAATCAGTTACTCCGGTTGGACTGCAATTCTTACTTGCCTAGAGGGATAATTCCACTAAGGAATTTGGAGTAAAAAGAGAAATTCACTTAGGTCAGCCAGAACAGGTGTCAATTCAGGCCCTGTCATCAGCTAGCAAACTGCGTTTTCTTAGGCACATCCCTTCTCCCTTCGCAATTCGGTGCAAGGGGTAATAGTACCTGCCTTGCATTCCCTTTTAGAATTGGCAGGAGATGAGACAAAAACACAAGAGAGCACTGTGCACCCGTGAAGCAGAGAGATGTGGGGCCCTACCTTTTTTTTTTTTTAAGGACTTTGCATATTTGGCTGATAGCTGAAGTATAGAGAACTTTGCAAAACATTTAGATACTGCAGAAGGTCCCTAGATTTATTAATTAGCCAAACCAACGTCAGAAAAGTAACAGTAATCATGATAACAATAATACTACCACCACTTTGTTGAAAACAAACCACCCTTGACCATGTGAAGAGAAGAGGAAAGAGAGTGCTCCTGGTTACTGTGGGGCTGAGGGCTTAGAATATAGTGGCTGCTTTGTTTATTTGGGGCATGGGACTTAAATGCCATTGAGCACTGATTGTTTTCTTGAAAGGTGAGAAAGACAGGCTTCCTTAGAAAAAAAAAAGGGGATGTAAGAGACAGGAGTTTAGGAACTAAAATCTAGATGGGGATGAGAGCATTTTTCCCCCCAGTCTTCCAATCTGTAGTTTAAAAACTTGACTGTACTATTGTGTGTGGGTGGCGGGAGATGTTCTCCCTTAATATTTAGGAAAGCTTCGAAGAGCCAATTTATTTCACCTGTGCCAAGTGCAACCAGGAAAGGGCTTGGGGAATGCTCCACTCCAATCAGGCAGGCAGTTGTTACAGTAGAGTACCTTGGCTTGGGAAAAGAAGAGGGAGAGGAGGAATAGGGCACTGGGTACCTCTTGAGGATCAATTATAAGGACCTACCAACTAATAGATTCAAGGTAGGCATTTATAATGTTTGTGGAAGAAAGAAAACATCACATAATTTGAAACCCCAGAGAAAGGTAGCTGAGTAACCAGTTGATTTACCCTTGCCTCACCTGGAGAGTTTCTTATCTGGCATAGCTTAATTAGGATTTCTTTTATATTAAAATAAAAGCAGCTTAGGTAGACCATTCCTCTTCCTTTTTGTTAGTACAGCACTGGCAATTAATAAAGCATTTTCATCCACATTATCCTATTTAATCCTTATATCTGATCCTGAGATTAAAATACACACACAACTGGGGATTTATCGTGTAATCAATGACCCAGACTAGCATTTACCAGAACTTCTAGTTTGTTAGTATCATCATTTTTATTTAACTTACTTATGTGGATTAATTATAGTGATTTATTTAAATCATTATTTAAATTAACTCATCTATTTTAACTTAAAAATTTATTTTAAAAGTTTATATAACTACTGTGAAATCACAACTTGTGCTTAAGTTCTTCTAAACCAGAGGTCCCCAACCTTTTTGGCACCAGGGACCAGTGCTCCTATGAGAATCTAATGCCTGATGATCTGAGCTGGAGCTGAGGTGGTGATGCTAGCACTAGGGGGCAGCTGCAAACACAGATAAAGCTTTGCTCGCTTGCTTGCCTGTGGCTCACCTCCTGCTATCCAGCCCAGTTCCTAACAGGTCACAGACCCCTGGGAGACCCCTGTTCTAAACTATAAAATGCTTTAAATACCTAATAAATGATTTTTTAAAGTTCATTACCCACCTAGATGCATCTTTTAAAAAAAATAATGCGTTGATGTATAATTATATACCTTAAAATTCACCTGTTTAAAGTCAATGATTTTTTTTTTTGTAATTTTACCAGTTGGTGCAACCATCCCCACGATCCAGTTTTAATACGCTTCCATAGTCCCAATAAGATCACTCGTGCCCATGCACAGTGAATGCCCATGCCACTTCTAGCCCCAGGAACCACTTACCTACTGTCGGTCTCTATAGATTTTCCTTTTCTGGACTTTTTATATGAATGCAATCACATGATATATTGTGTGTTGTGTCTGGCTTCTTTCCCTTGGCATAATATCGTAGAGGTTCATTAGATTTATCTTGTGGCTTCGCTTTTGGAAATATTGATATATAATTGTCTGTTATAAAAAATATCTGTATGGTGATATTGGAAAAGATGACAATTTCCTCACCTCAGCAAGGTTTGACAAATATTTGTGTAGAAATTATATGACATATTCTGCTGGACTAGGAAGAACGAAGGATTTAGTGAAATGTATAACCAGATCTGACTTGGACTCTTTAGGAAATGGGACGAAATGTCTAGAATTTAAACATGTCTGATATGCCTGGTGGCTAAAGAGTCATGTATATTACTTGCAGAAATGCGAAGGTTTAACAGTTTTTTAAATTTTTTTATCATGTATGAAGTTCAAACACACTAAACATTAGAGAGCATATAATAATGAATCCTCATGTACCTATCATCCTGATTAAACAATATCCCTTTGATAAAGTATTTTAAATACAAATTCCATATATCATCCTGATCCATACATGCGTTAGTATACATTTCTAAAAAAATATGGACTTTTAAACTTTTTAAATATACCATGTAATACTACATTACCAATGACATCTTTACACACTAAGCTTTCTGTTAGCGCATTTTCCTGGGTCTGGTTCTTGGTGTTTGGTTTCACCAGGCAGAAGAGTATGGCCCAATTGAAGAAGGCAAGGAGTCAAGGGAAAGGGAGGGTCCCACATGAAGCTGCAAGAACTAGCTGAGTTTTCGAAAGTAGACCTAAGGTATATATGCATTAAGCCATCTGTTAGGCACTTCACGTATTCATAATCTTATCTAATTCTCAGTTATCTTGTTGGGCAAATATTCAAATTTAGAGAAGTTGAATAGATAAATTGCCCAAGTTCACACGATAAGTTAGAGGTGGAGGTAGAATTCAAAGCCAGGAATGATCGACTAAACTTTCCCACTTCCATGCTTGCCTACTATGTTACTGTTATTGCAAGACTATATTTTTAGGCTCAAATTACTGTGTCCTGGGAGTTACAGAATATATTTGTAGAAGCATTCATGATCCTTTTCATTCTTTAATAACAGCTGTAAGTAAGCTTTCTTGAATTCAGATAGAGGTAGTAATAAAAATTAGTAATTACAATATTTTTCCCCCCTCTTTTTTAATCCCCCCCACTACCACTTCCACCCCTGACCCCCTGACCTAGGGATGTTGCCATCTCTCCTTGAGAACTGGATCTCTGAAGGCAGGGTGTCTCCTGGTGCCCGAACCCAGGACCTTCTGTGTGTAAAGCAAATGTGCTAACCACTACACTATGGAACCACCCCTAGTAATTATGATATTAATAATAGTAGCAAACACTCATATAGTGCTTCCTATCTGCCAAGTACTATTTTAAGACTTTGTATATATTCAGTCATTGAATTTTTCCAACAACTCTATGAGTTGCATATTATTATTGTCCCCTTTTTATGAATGGAAAATTCGAGGTACAGAATGGTTAAGTAACTAGCCTTAAGTCACACAGCTAGTAAATGACAGACCAGAAATTTGAACCTGGCACTTTGGCTCCAGAATCCATGAAGTATGCCTCCTAATAGAAACTCAATATACAGAAATTCAGATTTACAGATTTTAAGATCAGAGAATGGCTCCAACAAGCAGTGTCATGCAGCATTCATGTGGGCTTCCTTTTGTGGGGTAGCTGTATTCTAAAATATTCTGTCCAGCTGTCTGCCTAAGGACGCTTGTGTTTGTCGGATCATGCGCTACCTAAACAGAAATGTGCCTGGCTCATATCCTATTGCTAAGTGTACTTGCATGTGTGATCCTGAATTTAATTTTTCCATTTGTTTATTTGTTGATTTATTTGAAATCTTTGATTCCCAAGTATTGGTGGCTTATCCTTCATTTGAGAATATATCAGGTTTTTCGCTGAGAAAGCCAGCAACTTCTCTGAAGTGCTAGAAAGAAGAATATAGGCTTAAAACATTAATACTCTACAAATAGAAAATATTAACTGTCAGTTATCTCCTTACAAAATCAGGAAGGCGATTGCTAGAAATTAATTCACTTTTAATTCAGTGTTCGGTGACCAGTAGTTTTCTTTTAAACTTCTAAATTACTCTAATAAAAACAAAACAAAATAATTTAAAGAGTTCACATTCATAGCTTGTGACTTTTAAAAATATTTTTTCAAAAAGATATCATTTGGTATTAAATGTGCACTAGTCGATGTTTTATTATATGTCGATGCTAACAATTTTTCCAAAAAACAACTTTCTCATTCTGTTATAAAAACATGGGGAAATCAGATGATATATGTGACTATAATTCCCAAGAAATGTTTTTAAGTATTTTAATGTAAATAAAAATTGCTTTTAGAATCTTATTAATGGTTTTCAAGTGACTTGATGAACTATTGGGGTAAAATGAGAACTTGAAACGTGTTCATATTCATGTGACTTATTACCTGACACTTTCTAAAAGACTGAATTTTAACATTAGATGTTTACTGTTTCCATAAAATCACATGCTAAAAATCTTATTGTGTAAAATAAGTACCTACTTTCAAATAATCTCATATTATTTGAATATTAAATTAAAACTCTGAAACTATTAATTATAAAGTATGACCATGTGATAAGGACATAAAATTGTTTTCTTTCTTTACCTTCATGCAGTTTGCCCACAGTATTAT